ATATTTATGTATGATATTGTTTCCGTGGTATAGAAATATCAGTATTAAAATACGGAACGGATATTTAAAAATAATATTTTTCAGAATTTAGAAAATTTATTTAAATAATTTAAGGTATTAATAAAAGATAGACGTTACGTGGTCTATTCTAGACATACTTTAATTATCAAGGTAAAAAATTTAAAGCTGAAGGGACAAAAACCGAATCACACAGTGGAACAAAATATTCGATATTTAAATACCATAGAACTGATGCTTTGTGCACAATATCGGTTTCAAGGTATTTAAATGTTGGTACTAAAACAGGAAACTGATATTTAGATATTAATTGTTCAAAATACAGAACAATTATTTAAAAAATTAATAGTAGTAATAGACATGGCATGTCTCCACACTGTTTTTTATAGGTATCCGATTAGACCACTAGGATGGTAAATCAGTTTACGAAAGAACCATTTAATACAAAATCTATTAAAAATTCGAAAGTGGTAGCAAATATATGTCTAAAAATTTGCTTAATTTATGAACATTATTGGTTTGTCTTATTTACTTGTCAACCACTGCAGATTCAATTCTCAAATATATATGATAAATTTCTCTTCAATACTTTTAAAGTAGAATTTGGGTTCATGCACACAACTGGTTTTTCTTTTCAAATTTGAGGAGGAGAATGCATGTATATATAATATATAGAGCATAGATAAAGCAGAATATATAAAGCATATTTTACATAAGAAAAGGAAGTTTTTTAATACTGCTCTACCTTTCAAATTTAATTCGTTTTAAAATGTTTAAGCTTATTTTTAAAATACTCTAGTTCTACTAATAAAAGCTAAAATGGTTATTAAAAGTTATTTAAAAGTTTCAAGGTTTAGTTTTTTAAGTATAAAGTCATAGATTTGTAATCAAATAAATAAATAATTAAAAAAATATTTTGTTAAAAATTTTATTCATAAAAGATTTTTTCTCTGGAATTTGAAACGCATCCAAATTTTTCAAAACATTTGCTCCTCAATTTAATAAACCTTCATTTTTCGAATTTCACGTTTGAGCGAATTTTTCTAGTTTTCCAACTGAAATGGAGGCAAAAAAACTCTTATTGAACGAATATTTAATCCAAAATTTACAAATAAAAGCAAAAATTAAGAAAATTCAATTTTTTTTTTCTTTTTTGATTAAGTTGACTTTTAAAGCTTTATTCTCAGTCCTGAGATCTCTAAAGATGCGACGATAAAGTTACAAAAAAGAAAAGTTAAATTGTTTGTTTATCAATAACACGCACAACCGAAATTCAAGAATTTTTTTTTTTTTAAAAACAAATTCTACTTATTTTTTCTGGCAAATTGCACAAGTGTGCTTTAACTACTAGACCTTGATATCATTCGATATGTAAACATAAATAACAGAAAGTTGCTTATGAGAAAAATTATTGCATAATTGGACAAAAATGCAGAGGTGAAAAACATAGTCACCGTACTGGATACATTTCATATTATGTGAAACAATCTTGAAACCAACTTTACAAAAATATAATTGAAAAATGTTTTCAAAGAACTGGAATTCAAAGCTCAAAGGTACATTCATACACTGTAAAAAACATTTGTTAAATTTAAGGTGGAAAAAAACTGCCAGCTAGTGGGCCAGTAAAAAACCATTCTTTTTTCTCACAGAATCTTGTTATTTAAAAACAAATATCTATTTTTTCAGCAGATAAATACTGTTATTTTAACAAGCAAACTCTACAAAATAACTATATCGACATTATGCACGGTGCAAGCCGAGAGCAACAATTGAACGACCTGTCGACGCAGAGATTCAAACCTGGGTCAACACATAGTACTACAAGAGCTCTGTTCCTTAAGCTACAGCAGCTCTAGGGTCTCAATTGAGACACTAAAGCTGCTGTAGGTATATTATGGTATTATGATAAGTATATTATGTAGTTCGGTATGTGCTGTAGGTGTATGCTTTTTATCATATTAAAATGAAGAAAAATCGTCAAACTGTTTTTTTTTTAATCTTAAAAGTCTTCCTTATTAAAATAATATTCAGTTGTAAAAATGTTTGAAACTATAGTAACCCATCAGTATAAAAATGTTTGGCAATTTAACTTACCAAAAGCCTATATCTAAAGAAATATAATAAGACATAGTATCAATTTAACAATGAAATCGAATCGCAGTTTTACTTATATAATATTCAAAACCTTAAAATTATTGTTAAAAATAAGAGAAAGAATAAAAAGTAATCGTAAAATGATTTGAGAAAATGTAGAGTTATTCTACGGTAAACGAAAACTAGACGCAAATGAATTTGCAAGTATGCAAATGAAGGAAATAATCCCAGATATTACAAATAAAATTTTGATTCCTGATTAATTCATTAAATTGGGATCAGAATGTATTATTTAATAAGATAAATAATGACATGTTTATCTTATAAATATACATTTATTAAAAAAAGAGACAAAAGATTTCGCATAAATGTATAAGAATATAATTTAACAGAACATTACAGGCTTCGTGCTATTTACTATTGGTTAAAAATTCATAAATATTAAATTTCGTTTTACAAATTACATGCATATAAGATCATTTTAAATTCTGGTAAACAACCCAAAATGTTTGATCTATCACGTGGCCTATCTATTATAAACAATTTAACATGAAAACGAAGTTGAAAAAAATATGATAGAGGCAAAAAAAAAAAAAAAAAAAAACCAGTNAAAAAAAAAAAAAAAAACAGAGCGTATTGTAGCCTGTTTGGTAATCATAGCTCTTCTTTAGACGAAGATGAGCGCTATTTGTGCAAAAAAAATAATAATCTTTTATTCGATTGAAAGCGGTGGCAGCAGTTAAAAACAAAATGGAAGCCAAGTGCACGCCCATAATGTCACGATTATTGAGTAGATTTCTTCAGCACAATGGCAACGAACTTCCGGGTCTACAATATCAAGGGTTGGGGGGAAAAACCTCCAAATATAAACGATTTTTTTTAATATTATTAGTTTACTTAGTTTTTTCAGATTCTTGTCAAGCGGTTGTACACCTGAAAAGATGAGGTCAAAGTGTATTATTTCGTGTATCATATCTAAATTGATTCGTTCTCCTTGACTGTAATTAAATAGTTTTTACAGTTAAAAAAAATGCAATGGTTGAATGTCAAGGGCGTCGGCTGTTAAGAGATGATGTCCGAAAATAAAGGTTTAAGGGTAACGATTATAAAACTAATACTGTGATAACATGTGAACCGTAACATAACAGGTTTGCTGAAATTTGAAGGAATTGTCGAATTATCTACCTTGAAGCTTTTCAAAAAAAATTTTTACATTAATTTGATCAATAAAGTAACACGAAATGGGTTTTAAGGTATTTTCTTTAAAGGTAAGAGTAATAACACTTGAGAGTAGAATACTTTTGGCTAGTCTTTAAAGTACAGAATTAACAAGAAGTAAGTTTCCAACTTCAGAGAACTCCAAAAAGCTTTCTATTATTCCAAATGAAATAAAATGAGAATGACTGACAATTCAATTAGTGTGCTTGAAATAACTTGATTAAGAGTTTTAAAGATAGATAGCGTAGTAAGACAAATTGGTTTTTACATTCATTAAAAATTTGAAACATCATTTGCGTAACAGCTCAACCGTATACAGCATAAACGTGTGGGACCGATTTCAAGAGAACTTTTTAATTCTCTAAATGGAACGAATTTACATAGCGCTACATTTCTTGTTAACTCTAAAGTTTTTTGAGACTGTTAACTTTAAAGTATTTTAAGCCCGAAATTTTATCTACGAACAGCTAGTGGTGGAAAATAAAGCAAGTATTACGGTTAACATAAAGCAAACGCAAAGCAAAATCACTCTATTTCCTGCAAGAAATTGCATCTTAACATTTTTGCTTTTTGACAGAGGGTCACATTTCATATTAACATTTATTATAATTATTATTATTATTATGTTACTTATTCTGTGCTTATATCTTCTGACTCCAATGAGCGTTGCTTATGATCATGCTTGTGTATGATAAAAATTGACTTATTCATTTTTGTATTGTACCAAACTATGTTTAAATACAATTTCATTAAAATTGTATAGTAGTTCTAACATAAATGGAAGGAACCTGAATAATCACTTAGTTTTGTTTACCAGTGTATTTTAATTTTAAAAATTTAGAAGCTATCCGAAAAATTTTATGGAGGAAAGAAGCTGTTTCTCAAACAAATAATTTATTGCATGAATAAATACTTTTATGACTGAATGAATGATTTGTGAGATGAATTAAAATTTTTATAATAATACATAAACATAAATCAGGAATATAACTTTTCCTTAAATTTTTTGACAGTTTTGATTGTACTAAATAATTGCTCCAGCAAGTATAATAGTACATACGATCCCCTTGATGGTCAGGATAACTATTGACTGTTATTGGCAACTTCATACGTTAAAACTTTGTTCGAAAAAACATTTCTTACATCTGTCAAAGAACTGAAAATTGTCTTAAATTGGAACCAAAAAATAACCGGTATTTATAAACAGGAGTTGCAAGATTGATTTGGTAAACTTAGTACATTTCCCGAGTGTGACTAAAAATTGAAAATATCTCTATCTTAGAACCAAAAATATCGTTTATTTATGAACAGCGTTTGCAAAGACAGTGAGCTTATAGTACATTCTCCGCGACTGGCTAAAAACTGAACATTTTTCTACCTTTGAACCAAAAAATATCCTGTATTTATTAGCAACGTGGGAAGGGTTAATTCAAGGAACTTATAGTACATTCCTAGTCTGGCTATAAACTGGAAATTGTTCTATTTTAGAACCAAAAAATACCCGGTAATTATAAACATTGCGTGTAAGTTTGGGAGGAATTTATTAAAGGGAGGTAAAGAACAACGGGGCCCACCCTTATCGAACAAGGATCAAAACATTTACCTGTCATTCAGTCATACTAATGTCAAGTTTATATAAACAATCAGGAAATAAATATATGACTCACCTTTAAGTTTTCTAACTTTGGCTATGCTAGGCTTTCCACTGCGATATTTATCTTCAATCATAGTCACATAACTACATGGAAAGTCATCCACGTTCTCCAGGTCGTAAAACTCCGCCCTTCCGTACAAGAGAGTGTCAATTTCTTCCTCTAATGTGCAATCAACAGAACCAGCTTCTAGCTGGGACCTTAAATTGGCACACAGAGGGTCTTTTAGGATGGACTTAGATTGTATTTTGGGACCATTTTGATCTCCAGAAACATCGGTAGTCCGGCCTGATTTTTTATCCTTATCGGAAACACTATCCGTGGGGTTTAAAGTCGAAACTTTTACATCTGTGTTGAACCGAACGGTTTTTGTGTAACTGGGGTGAGAAGTTTTTTCTGCCGAAGTATCTGAGTAGCACTGATCAGGTACGGGATTTATCGCACTGCTATCTTGCACTTCCTGTCGCCTTTCTTTATGAGCAAACAATGAATCGGAGTTCGAAGATTCGCACTTCTGGATGGCACTCAACAAAGACTGTCGAAGGTACATAAGGTGGTCTAAATTGACGTCATAGAGACTGGAGTCAGATCGCCTGGAGCCAGGAGGCTCTCTCATAGGCGAGATATGTCCCTGACGACTTATGACTTTAGTGCCCATCATGATTCGAGGCTTTGTACTTCGGCTTTGAGGTGAAGAGTTTGAGTCCGTGTAGAATTCATTGAATGCATTGGATTGACCAACAGCATCCGGTCCATAAAGAGATGGATCTGGAATCTCAGGTGTTGGACATAGGCTCTTGTAACCACTATCTATTGAACTAGAACCCGCGTAGCCAATAGAATCCCTATCTCCTTCGGGATTGCCAGATGATTTAACTGTTTTTTCAGTTGGCTCAGTCAGATCATAGTAATCATCCGAATCATCAGGAGGATCATATGTCAGGACACTGATAGTGTCCAATAGGGGATTTGACGAACATATCGATGCCGCTTCGTCAAAGTCATTGGACGACAGCGACGTCGCACGCCGTCTATTGTTGCGCGGGAGTGTAGAATATGGATTCTGTTGGTAAATTGAAGGTCCATAGATGCGCTGGTGTTTACCAGAGCTCCTTCTCGAACGTGAACGTGACACGTCGTACTGAGAAGATAATTCCGTAAGATCTCCTCTACTTCCATGACCGATTTGATCTACCGCACTCACATCAATTCCCTGATCCTCATCACCGTGTGTCTGGAGGATACTTTTACTGGAATGAGATGGCTTTGGTCCAACGATTTCCTCAAAGATTGCGTACATCTGGCACATAGGAAGATGGGAATCATTCCTTTCTCATACTGACTATCTGGAAGAGAAAAAAAAAAGATTTAGATGTCAATAATATACTACATGGTAAAATTACTTTTTATCACTTCAATCAAAGATCAGAGGAGCTCCAATCATCCAAATCAAACAGATTCAAATTCAGTTCATGCAAATGAGAAATTGGTAAGAAAAGAAATGCTTTAGGATGAGAATAACATATCTTATTTATCGCATTGAATTAATTTCATGACTACGAAAAAGAAAAAAAGACATTTTTGCAAAGATGAGGACGTTTTATAAATCCATACCTGCCAACTTTTACGCATTTCGCATAAAATTTTATTTTTATATTTAAAGTGGTATTAAATATATAAAAAAATTTTTCTTTTATAAACTTATATTTTAAATTATTTTGATCACCACTATTCTTAAAAAAATTAAGCATGTATGTTANCTGCCAACTTTTACGCATTTCGCATAAAATTTTATTTTTATATTTAAAGTGGCATTAAATATATACAAATTTTTTTCTTTTATAAACTTATATTTTAAATTATTTTGATCACTACTATTCTTAAAAAATTAAGCATCTATGTTAATATGTGTTACTGATATGGTTGTCAGCTGAAGCCTTTTCAAATACAACGTTTTACTTACAATTGAAATTTTAATTCCATTTTTCTACCACTGGGAAAAATCATAATGGAAGGGATCAAAAGTGGGCAGGTCAGGTATGTAAATCCTATGTTTCTTGTTTGCCATGAATATTCATAACCAGACATTTTTTAATAGTTTTATATTTTTCAAAAGCAATCTTATAAGTCAACGATATATATGAATACTACAATTTTTTTTAAAAAACTAGATTGTTTTTAGTTCTTTTTTCCCACAGGTAATCTAAATAGTAGTTCATGATTTAGATAAGATCAAAGAATTAATCGACTAATTTAAATTCAATATAAAGTTCAATAACAAACTGTTTTTTATTAAAAAAAATAAATGTTTTTTAATTTTTTATATGCTAGTGGTAGANATAGTCGACGATTTGAATGATAAGATTTCAGAAAATTGAGGTTCAACGATATTAAAAATTGTTTTTTAAAATTAATGCATTGATAAATTCCGATTTCAAATTGCAGTTACCTTTATTATTCCCTAGCAATAGAAATTGACTTTGAGCACAGACTTTATATATAAGAAAACAACACTAGCACAATGTACCTTTATTAGATATGTTTCAAACAGATATAATAACAACAAATAAAATTTGCTAAAACGAGTTCTTTGCTCCTTGCTGTGTGTCAATTAAAGAGTTTTTCATTGATTTACTCGTACATTAAACAAATGCAGTTTCCTGCTAAACCGGTCATTTAGTTCTAATCATGATCACGAGAAAGAAATTTAAAATCTGAACATTTAGGCTTTTATTTCTCGTTGCATTGTTTTTAGCTGGCTGTGTGCGGTGATTCGTATTAATTTAAGTTCTTTGTAATATGAGACAATAGCGATTCCATTAATTCTATATCATCAGCTTCTGAAGAAAAAAAAACGGATTGACCGTTAAATTGAATCTTGTTATTATTTTTTAAAGAAATAACTAGAGGCCTCCACTAGTTAAAACTTCTATGAATGATTCGCAATTACCATTGTGTCCTTCTTAAAATCCGATGTAAAAGCAAAGAATATTCAGTTTATAAAATATATAATTATTATAATTTTAGTAACGAAGTTTTATTTATAATCTTATACATGAAAAAGTAGATTTGACAAATATTTTCTGTACTTTTTTCAAAAAAGAAAATAATAATTTTGAAATACAGAGTGTCTGACGCAATAAGAAGAAATTAATTAAGAAATAATTTTACTCGTTAGCGAGGCATATATCATAAATACAGCTTAAATAGAAAATAGTCTCTATTTCTCTTAAATTAAGTTTTCATATTTTTAAAAATTTCAACATATTTGTTACAATTTGCAGTTGGCAACATCTGCTCTCTCTCTGTCTCACTTGTTTCGCCAATAAAAAAGAATAAAACACTGAAATTATAATAACTTTTCAACAAAGTTGAATTTAAAAATATTAAAAAAATAAGTGACAGAATCGAAAGTTCATTTTTTTTTATTTTATTGTACTTGTACATTTTTTTACTCATTTTCTAATTTCAGAATTCTTAAGTTTTTGCGAAGCAATGTAAAATTTAACGTTAAGTTGAACATCAAAAACAGCAATGGCAACTTCTTTTGCAATGTTTTCTTTTTAAATAGAAAAACAATAAAAAAATAATTTCTTGATTTTCACTTTTAATTTCATAAAAATGATCTTATTTAAAAAATATATATATTATCTTGTATGATGTAACAATTTATAAGTACTTTCTATTTACACCAAATTTTCCGATTTTTATTTCAATAAACCTTTTGCCCTCGTTAATTAATCCAAATCTTTTGAAATAGTAAACTAAATCTTTTGCATTTATTAAAAATGCTACATTTTTTTAAATATTTTTAAAAAAACAAATAAATAGTTGCAATGTACTTATCCCTTTTCATATTTTAGTCTAATTTAGTACATTAAGAATAATAGAATATTTTATGAAAAAAAACTATTTTTGATAGTATAGTTTCATAAGAATATAATTAACCACAATGACACTTTTTAAAAAATAATAACAAAGTTTTCCTACCGTTCATTTTTGTGCACTCTACGATAACATTTTATGAACATAACTGAATAAAAACGATTTAAATGTGATAAACGGAAAAGAAAATGAGCTCTTACTCAACAACAATAAACCTTACAAGGACGCCCCGAAGTTAATAGCGCTATGCGTGACTTTCTGAGAAAGCCTAATAAAACAAACATGAATTTCTTATTATTCATAATATACTTAAATAATCTTAATCTAATTACTTAAGAAAAGTCGACAGCGCACTAAAAATACTTTTTTAAGCATCTACAAACAATAAAGAGAAAATTCAAGTGATCTAGTGATAAGATTTTGATAAATAAAGTGGCAAGGATTAAAAGAGCTATTAAGAGACAATATTTTTTTTTTGGTAACTTCAAACCGTGATCATAGAAAAAACAATTAAGTTTGATATGAATTGATTGTAAATACAAAATGATGATCGATTGATGAGAGTTAGCTAATTGCTCAATAAAGCTTTTTTTGGTTTGTTTGTCATTTTATTTATTGTTACAGTGGGGAATATAAAAAGTTGATATTTACTGCGTGTGTGTTGATAAAAGTTTTTTTTAAGGACTTAATGTTTATAGTTTTATTACTTTCATGCATAGAATATTTAAAAGGGATCAATTATGAGGTTGATAAATTAATGATATGAAGTATTTTATTTTTTATTAAAATATGATTTAGCAGTATTCAGCCTTCTGATAGTTTTCTTTAATAGTTTGATCACTTTTTTCACTTTAAATAGTTCGGTAAATTAATTTTTTTAAGAAATGTTCTTTTTTGAAATTAAAATGGTGGCAACTTGTTCAAAAACATTGAAAACAAATTTTCATTAGCTAAAAATAATAATTTGTTACATTTTCAAATGTTTGCATGTTCTGGAGTGCTTTTTTTAAAACTATTTCCTGTAAAAACACTCTTAAAAAAATTGTGTTCGATTGCTATCGCTAATACATATTATTAAATTACTGTTCTTCTTGAAATTTATAACAATTGTAAACAAACTTTTGTGACAAAACAAACAAAACATACGGGTGTATATTAACTTTTGAGTTAGAACTGTACGATTGACTTCATAACTTTATTGACAGTACAAACAGAACAATACAGATAAATACTAACTATTCTGCCAAAACATAAGGCCTTGAAAAAACGGATTTTAAAAACAGTCAAACTTCCGAAAATATTAATAGCAAAAATCATTTCCAACTAATAAATTAGATTAAAGGAATAAAGTAATAAAAATCTAAACGGTATTTTTCCTTGGTCAAGCAGAACAAATTCGCAAAACATGGACAATTTTTATCAAACATCTTAGATTTTAAACGAATTCAAAACATGGCAATCATTTTCAAAATCGCAGCCTTTAAAACATGCCGCCCCTCTAACTGATAATACGCGGAGTTGAATAACGTGTAATTTGTTTTTACACGCATATTTATAATCACAATTCTAAAGTAAATGGCAGAATAGAATTTTTTTTTCAGATTTCAATATCATAAATCTTTTTAATGATATCTTTAACCGGTGCGGATGAATGATTGCTAAAGGTTATAATCTTTTTCTGTTTCTAATATCTGCGAGAAAATAAAGAAAAGCAAACGATGAGTCCGATCTATCAATCTATTTACATTCAATTCACTGGTTTTGAAAATATATAATTTGAATTCGAAATCGTCTGCTTCGGAAATAAAAGCAAACCATATGAATGGAAAGTTAATCTGGTTATAATGATTCTTAATGAAAAATATAAAAAAAGAACGAAGAAAAAAAACGTAATAATAGTTTTCCGAATTATCTAGTTCTTATCTAGTGCGAAGTAATTAAGAAGGAGAAAAAAACTAGGGAAGAGAAAATAAAATAAAATATTTTATGTATAATTTGAATTCGAAATCGTCTGCTTCTGGAATAAAAACATATTTAAATGGAAATTTAATCAAGTTACAATGATTGTTAATACAAAACATAAAATAGTTTTTCGAGAGAAATTGTGGAAGAAAATAATTTCTTTTATTTCGACTTTTACTTTTTTTAAAAAAATTATACATAACTATAACTTTGTATAAAACAATTGGATACCTGCAAGTGACGTCAGGTAGTCAAATCGTGGCAGTGTCGATTCAGAAACTAATCAGGCTCGACACCAGCGTGACGTCACTTACAGGTTTCTAATTCAATCTGATTTAAATCACGTATTTAGGCATAATTACCTTACTTCTTCTCGAAATACAAGTAATCCATTCACATTCAAAATAGGATTTTTATAAATTGTATTTTATTAAAAAATTAAATGAAATGACATTGAAAAAATGAATTGGATTTTTCGTACAACAGTTTTGCATTTGCC